GAAAAAAGGGCAGGTTTAAATTAAATATCAGGAAGAAATTGTTTACTGTGAAGGTGGTGAGGCACTGGAACCTGTTACCCAGAGAAAGTGTGGATACCCCATCCCTGGAAGTGTTCAAGGCCACACTGGATGGGGCTCTGAGCAACTTGGTCTACTGGAAGGTGTTCCTGCCCATGGCAGGAATGATCTTCAAGGTCGCCTTCAAGCTAAGCCATTTTATGATTCTATGATCTCTTCATTAAGCTTTTAATTTCTTCAATATTATTCTTCTTTGCTTAAGAATATTTTTTTTCCTTCATTACTAACTATTACTAACTTGTCTCAGTATAAGCTGGAGGAATGTCTGAACTACAGTTGACTGTACTGTACGTCCTTTCTGTGCAAAGCATTTATAAGGGTTGTTCTATACACAGTTTTCCGATGAATTCTTTCTGTTGATACCATTATCATGGAATAAAAATTAATTGTTCCAATTTAGCTTACTGTATTTTGACTGTGTCTTTATAACCATACAAACTTGGAGTATTCTGGTAAAGTAATAACACTGATGTATTTTTCCTGAACTAACTTGCAGATATGAAGAAGTTGTCATAATAAGTTCTTAGTCCTGAGTATACCAGAAAAAACGCATTATTTTTCTTTATTTAGTTTCTCTGTTTTTGCTAGGGTTAATAAAGAAGGGGGGTGGTATTTTTACATTTTTCAGTATTTTTCAGGCAAATCACAGATCATTTCCTGCTACAAAATTAGTATAAATTTCAGTTTTCAGCATATCAATGTGATTATTCTATTCACTGTAATTTTATTTATGTGTCATTATTCAAAAGTCATCAGGGAAACCTTGGTGTGCCTGATGCTGATTATTTTCCATTGGATGGAAAATTTCCACTGGAAATAAGAAGAAAGAACTGTATAGCTTTGAATGAGCTTTGATCAGCACTTGAAAAATGAAGATGCCCACATTTCCAAATCTTTGATCTTTTTTCCCCCATTGCATTGACAGGGAATGGTTTACACTTCCTTCATCCTGCCACACCTCTACCACGCACCCCTTGAATGTGCAATTCATCATATTTTTTTCCATCTTCAGGTTAAATCTGTGGGTTATGGGTAACTAGGAAGAATGTATTGTTAAGCCAAGCCCCTTCTGCTCTATAAGATATAGGAGACTCTGGCTCCTTTAAGAGATTACAGATAAATCATGCATGCATTGACACATGTTCACATATTAATGGTCATGTCCTGTATTGGTCTTAGAGATCAGCATCTCTGCGAAGAAGATCCATAAATTATTTTACTTATTTTCTTAAGCTGAGTGATGCCAAGCACACTTTCTCTATCAATCTAGAAACAGCAAGTCCTGCCTTTTGCCTTTTTTTTTTTAACCTTTTCAAAAATTTCATGATGAGTGACAAGTACCTCCCATGTATCTCAGCATATTATCTGCATCATGCTCGTTTTGATCCTATGCATGTAAGCAAGGGCAAAGTACCACAGCATGAAGATTTAAGACCAAGAGAATTTATTATGTTGGTTTGTTTTGTTTTTTAACACAAGCAGAATTAGACAAGCAGAACTTGCATGCGATTACTCTCATCCTGTAGCCTAACACCGCCATTGCTGGAAGGAGGTCACAGGCTTATGACTAATATAATGATATATAACATAATAACATAAGGTGTAGAGGAATACAGGCCTGGTATGACAGCAGGGTCCCCTGAGAGTAGGCTCACAGGACACTGTAGAGGAGGTATAGGATGACAGAAAAGGGGGACAGCCTTGGCACTGGAGAACTTGGGGCTATAAAGAGCCCTCCAGTAGTCAGCTAAAGCAGCGCAGACTTGAGAACTGGACAAAGACAGTTTAGGGATTACACAAAGAACAAGTATGTAACATACATAAATGGCATCACATATAATACAATTGGATTAAAGTGGAGCTGTAGACAAATGAAGAAAGAGTAAGGTGTAAAGGGATTTAAAAACTCACATAAAATAGCCCCATATTAGTTCTTTGCTTTTCTCAGCAAAGAACTTATTTTGGAACACACAGATGACCAGCCACAGCCCCAACACCCACTGCTTGACAAAAGCTGGCAGTGTCAACTCTAGAGGGGCAGTGGGAGGGTAAGCACAACACCAAAAAAAGGACAGACAGGAAGAGTGTGTCTACAAAAAATGAACTGCATTATTATTCCTAATTTTTTCTTTTGGTTAAGTAGTAGTAGCATTTTTTAATTTCTTTCTTTTTTCTTTTCTGTATTAATTAGCTTTCACCTAATAGTTCATTGATTAGACTGAGAATGGTGTGCTCCCTTTTTTTTCCCCCCAGAACCAAACTCTTTGCATAACATTAGTAATTGTAGCAGAGAATGCATCTTTTGGAAATTTGAGCTTAACAATCTCTCCAAGGTCCCAGACGGTATCTGGCACAGTCAGAAATAGCATAAAGATATCCTGCCTCCCAGCCTGGCACATTAACTACAGGACCATTCTTCCTGCCTTTGCTTTATTTATTACATTGAAATAATTATTATGCATACTGAGCTCTTTGAAAGTACATTGCTATAAATACTAGAAAAGTCATCACATTGTAATTTGAAAAATACCAACTCCTTTTTTTTTTGGTACATCATTCAAAACATGGATCCATTATGACAGACCCCAGGGAATAATACTGCCCTGACTCATGGTCCATTAATACACAATTTAGTGCACATTGGTGCTATGACAAAGACAGGCATCGCATAACACAATGACAAAGGTGAGTCCTGCACAGCAGAACAATTGGTTTCTTTTCTCAAAGCTCAGGGCTCACCTGCAGCTTGTCAGTTGTTACTAATGAACGTGAGCTTTCAGAAACACAAACAACATGAGTTCACCTCAGGACTGTACACTTAGTTTTCCTGCGGGCCCCACTCTTAAGCCTGCTGAGCAGGACCCAGGTTCTTTCTCAGGGACCAAGATTATCCTGCACGCTTGGTTTCCTTAGACACTTTTGCAGTCCACCTTCTCCCCCCAGCTTCCTGTTAGACTGCAGTGTACGATTATATCAACTTGTGACTTGAGACAGACATTGCAGGCAAGCCCTCTGAGACTTTCAGTCTATGCAGGGGCAAAGATGTGATTTCTTTCTTCCATGCCATTATGCTTTACAGAAATGCCTGCTCATTAATGTTCAGGGAGCTTCCTTCTGCAGGGACACATCTCAGGCTTGTCGAGGTAAGGGTGGGTTGGGTAATTAAATCTCTTCGAAGTGCTCAAGTAGTTAAGTTTACGAGTGAGTAGCCTGTGTAAATGCAAGGCAGATGATGTGCTATCTGGAACACTCTTTGAGGACATTGAGTGTGCAGAGGTGAAAGCAAGTCCAGTACACGTGAAGGAATGAGTGCACTTAGCTGCTATGGGCTCACAGGCTGACAGGGCTGACAGCTTACAGTTGACAATACTTTTAGTGTCCTGTAAACACAGTTCACCTCACAGCTAATTTCTGATTAAAAAAGTAAACAGGAAACCAGGAGTTGCCATTCTTTTTTGGTCCTTTTTTTGGAGCACTTTCTTTGACTTTGATCTGGCAGCTCGAACCCAAAGTGAACTTCACTTTAATTTGTCTACTAGCTAAGAACATATGCGAACTGATATTCTGTTATCAATTCCTACTGGGGAAAGACACTGACTGCAACAGAAAATAATTTGTGGAGAGGAGAAAGAGTAAGCTGATGGAGAAAATGATGTTCATGACAATAACCAGCTCCATGTCATGGACTTAAAATGGGAAAGGCATGCAGGAACGCCAGCATTCAGCATTGCCCTTACTGGATGATTTCATTCACACAAGCTCTTGTGCCAGCCTTCTCCCAGAGTGATAAAATCCACAAGTAATAGTTTCTCATAGGCAAGAAATGTCTGTCTGCAGCAGTCCAGTCCCAAAGCAAACATCTGCAGGTGGGCTATGATGCACTCAGAGCCGTTAGTATAAAATGCCAAATTTCTAGACTACTTTGTATTTACGAAACACAAAGTGATTTGACAACCAAAATTCTATTTGCAACATTTTGTGAAGTTGTAGCTGGAAAGTATCAGTTTCCATATTATATGTGAGGACATCAAAGTACAGCGAGATTCAGCAGTTTAGCATTACTTATGACCTTTGAAATACCACCCACATTCCCTATTGTGTGTGATAGCCAACTCTGTATGGTAGAGTGATTTAGATACAGATTCAGGGCCGTTTTTCACAGACCTTCAAGGTACCGAGGACCATTTCTTATGCAGTAGGCCTTCCCAAAATTCAGTATATCCTCATCTCATGGGAGCTTCTGCCTCATTTAAACTATGCTACTTTGAAGCTCACTTGGTAGAGAAGGTAACCCATTAAGACGTGGCAATCGCTGCTAGCTATGCCTGGTTAAGACCAACGAATGTAAAGATTGAGAGGCAACTTTTTAGTTAATTTTTTTCCCTATTCACTTACATTTCCTCTTTGTCTGTCCTTGTCAGGTAAATTCTCATGGTTGCAAATGTTTTGCACAGAAAGCTGATGCGCTGTAAGAGTTAAGTGCTGTATTGATTAATATTTCCTCTATTTCTTTTTTTATCTTTGATTTACCAGACATTTTGAGGAGGAACGATATCTTTTGTGATGAGGCTGGCAGCATGCCACAGTGATGAAAGATGCCCTTGTAACTGGAACAAAGAATCCTGCCTAAGGATCCTGATCCCAGCGGGGGCTTTGCTGGGATTCTTTATGCGCCTAAAACGTCTAGTAAAATCCTAGTTCCAGACAGACACCTCAAAAGAACCCACGAAACCCAGGCCCTGACTTTATCGTGCCGTATGCAATGGCTCACATTAGGCGCACGGAGGCTCCCCGGGAGGGCACCCCCGGCCTGGCGGGGAGCGGGGCCCGGCCCGGGCTCGGCGCCTCGCCCGCCCCCGCAGCCCGGGCGCGGCGGTGCCGGCGGCCGCAGCGCGGCGTCTGCGTGCGGAGGGGCCCATGGCCAGCCCGCCCCGGCCGGCCACACCATGCCGAACAGGGCCGGCCTGGACACCGCGCTGAAGATGTCCCTGCGGCGGAAGTCCTCCAAGATCCACTCCTCGGCCGGTGAGGAAAGAGCGAGGCGAGGCGGGCGGGAGCGGCGCGGGGAGGAGGCGCCGCGGCGGAGGAAGGAAGGCGCGGTGAGGGAAGGAAGGCAGCCGGCGCCTCCATGGCGCGGCCGCCCGGCCCCGCCGCCGCCCCCTCGCCGGGGCCTTTGGGAATCCCGCAGTGCCGCCCCCGCCCTCGGGGTCTCCGGTCGGGATGGAGGTGCTCGCAGGCCAGCGCTGCCCGCCCGCCGCCCCCGCCACAAGGGCACCGCGCACCCGGCCCCCGCCTCCAGACCCCGGCCCGGCACTGCACCCCGCGGGGCCACCCTAGCCACTGCACCACCTTCCGTCGGCCCGTCCGTCCGTCCATCCATCCATCCATCCCATCGGGACCCCCCAGGGCCCTCCCGGCACCCACACTCCACGCGGGAACAGTCCGGAGGGGACAATGTGTCCCCCTTCTTTCTCTTGGTTCTGATGGTTTTTGACAGGGAAATTTCTGGGTAGGCATCTGCTCAGAGGGCAGTACGGCTGGTGGAGGGGGGCGGGGGTGCCACACACCCCACCAGACTGGTCAGGGACCTCTGTCCTGTGTTCTGGAGTGGGGAGAGCATCAGGCACTGCAGTGAGCCTGCAGAGAGGTAAATGATAAGGTTTCTTAAGAGGTTCATGTAGGAAAATGTTTTTCAATTAGCTCATAAGAAAATACACAGAAATGGAATACTTTGAAGGTAGAATTCTGGTCCCAAAGGACTTTGACTTACTTCTGTAGGACTAAAGTGCATTCAGAATTTAGTTGTGGTATGTTGTACTTAGGGATAGATGAAGCATTGGTGACATTGTCAGTGACTTACAGACGCTACTTTGTGTGCAATATATTTAGGTGCTTAGTACAATCTCTGTGGTGAGTAAGGGTGCAGTATAATGCTGCTTTAGCACTTTTTGTTTCAATAAGGAATGTGCTTTTGAAGCACATTTCCTGATCAGCTCTACTTTGGATGAAATCTCAGAGCACCTTGGAGAGCATTTGCTGGATGGCTTTTGGATGGCGCTATACTTGAAGATGTCCTCCAGCCACTTGTGGCTGTTCAGCTCATGGAACCAGGCTAGTGCTAACTTGAAGGAGAAGCCACCTTTCCTTTGGCTCCTCTGCACAGCCTGGTCACTCCAGTAATATTTCCCTGTTTGGCCTCACTGCTTGGTAATAAGGACAGAACTTCAAGGACTTCTGCATAGCTGCTGAAGTAAGTGAGATGCTAAGCAAAGAGGTGTGTAATGACAGCTCATAGGAAATGGTAAGGTTTCAGAGTAGGATTTAGCACATTACCAGCTTTACTTATCTTCAGCCTAAGCCATTCAGATGAAACAGTTGCAGTTAAGCAGATTCCACTTTCCAGTGTTTGGGGTTGTGTCCACTTCTGCAGTCCAATCTGAAACCCTGTCCTCTTACAGGGAGGCTCCTTTTCCAGAGCTGGAATTTGGCAGATCTGTTTGTGACCTAAAATTTGGAATCCAAACCGAGGTTCCCTTCAGATATTGGATGCTTGGCACTTGGAGAATGTTTAGCTTGAATGTGGGATACATAAGGAATTTAAGGTTTAACTTTTGTAAATCACAGACTCAGACTCACAGAATGGATCAGTTTGGAAGGGACCATAGTTGGTCATCTCATCCAACCTCCCTGCTCAAGGAGGGCCATCCTAGAGCACATGGCACAGGATTGTGTCCAGATGGTTCCTAAATATCTTCAATGAGGGAGACTCCACAATCTCTCTGGGCAATTTGTTCCAGAGCTTGGTCACCTGCAATCCACCATTGTACTTGTGGATCTAGGTGGTTAAGTTGTGCCTCAGTTATGCTCTGGGTGCTTGAGGCACCCAGATCTTCTAGCTGGGATTTATCTATACAGAGCTTCCGACTTTTACATGTTCTCTTCATTTCACATAAGTACAATCCAACTTAGATCATACTTTGAAGAAAGATGGGGTTGCTGTTTAGCATTATGATCACTGCTTCCTAGGTCTTGAACAATGTATTTCCTATGTAGAGTATTTTTAAGAATGACAAGAGTAATATTTAGTATAGGTATATATAACACCTAAAAAATTACATAACAGAGGCTTGTTTGACTTACTACATAGAATTATTAAAGGATATGATTGTAGTTGGTTTAGGACACTGAGCAAACTGATGGCTTAGAGCAACAGAGCCAATCTCTCTGCCCCCCAGAGAGAAAGTCCTGCCTTCCCCATTCCTGTGTATTCTCATTGCCTTGCTTGTGTCAACATTAGAAATCAGATGGTTACATGGTCACCTGGATCAGTGCTGATGTGGCTCACTGTCAGCCTGTATAGTCTGAATGCCAGCAGGGAACAGAAAGGCAGGAACTCTGTTTTGCTACAGCATGCTGTGGCTTGGTGTGCAGACCTGCTGTCTGTGTGGGCCAAACAAGGTTCAAGTGAGGGGCTTTGGGCTGTGTGAACCCAACTGTAAAAGCATACATTTGGAGACTGAGCCACTGAAAAAGCAGTACAGATGTAGTTGTGTGGTGGCATTGCAAAGACCTTTCTGAGCTGAATGGTGTGGAGGGGGAACTGGTCACCCTTTTGTGATCCTTAGTCAGGATCAGGTAACGCTATCTCTATCCACCGGGATTTTCTTGGCACCTATGTATCAGAATGTTCTACCTTCTTTCCTTTTTAGAACAGAAGATCTTCCCTGCTTTAAAGACTTGTAGTTTGTTAGCTAGTTCTGTTTACTTTTGAGGGAGTTGTGGTAATCTTAAAGTATTAGGTTTTAGTTTGGGTCACTGAGATTTATTTTCATACGATTTAAAGTATTTTAGTAGCTTATAGATATTCTTCTTCAGTCAAGAAGAACGCTACCTCTGTGTCTAATGATGTCTTTTCATCTCAGATTTTCTACACTGATACAGTATAAAATGTAACCGGTATATTTGGTAAAGTTTTAAACTTAACACTGGTATGAAGCACTTTCCAGAAAAGCAGATCATGTGAAACGGTGAATTTAGAAATGGAAAGTCACCTCCTACCACTCAAATGATCAGTCCTGTTCTTTTTTATGCATTTGCTCATTAATCGATTTTTTTTTCTTTGTACAGGTAAACTTTTTATTGCCGTAATGTTGTACCAGCTGAGCTAAATTGATTAGATTTAAATTATTCTCAAAGAAGTCTCCAGCTCCTTACTGTTGGAACCACAGACATCAAAGACTAACTTTTTCTTCTCCTTCCTGCCTCCTTAAAATCACTAAAAATAAGCAACTGTCAATAAGACATTGGATGAATATACAATGGCATTTTTATTTTTAGGGAAAAAAATCGAATTCCAACTTTATAATGGATTAAAGGTACAAATGATCTTGATGTTATTTACTGTGGTCTTTTTCAACTGCTCAGTGATACATGTCAGCAAGAAGAAATATTTTCAGTGTAAAGGCAGCAACAGAATCTTCTCTCGGTTTATGAGGATCTGAAATATAAACATCATTACATGATATGAAACAATGCTCCTTTTGTACGTTTGCCTTCTACATTTCCTGTGAAATACTTGCTTATGGTTTATGCTGTCATTTTGGTCTCAAGAACAGTGACTATCTCTTAGAATCACTTCTTTCTAGAGGATCCATCTCTTTCTTTTGTCAGAAGAATGTCTGTGAAAGAACTTCTTTGGGCTATTTTTGTTCTATGATGTCATTACCATGGTTGCTACTGTTGGGAAGTGTCATACAGAGCAGTTATAACATCACACAGGCCATGTATTTTGCTCAAAGCTTCTATCTTTGAGAAAAAAGGATTAAGCATTGGAACAGGCTCCTCAGAGAAGTGGTTGGGTCGCCATCCCTGGAAGTGTTCAAAAAACAAGTAGACGTGGCACTTTGTGATATAGTTTAGTGGGCTTGGTGGTATTCGGTCAAAGGTTGGACTTGAAGATCTTAGAGGTCTTTTCCAACTTTAATGATTCTATGATTATTTGATTCTATCTGCAGCCATTTACAGCCATTACAAGTTAGACATAATTCCTATAGATATATGTAAAATGCACAGGAGCTATAGGTGAAATAATTAATCAGCTTTGCATTAATTACGTACGCCTGTTGATGCTTCAAATAAGGTGCAATTTGGTATTGTGGAGGACAGGTTCAGATGGTGTAAGAAACACAGGGAAGGCTAGAAGCTTTCACCTTGAAGCTCATTCGAGTCATGTCTACTCACGAGATATCTACATCCTATTTTGCCGGAGGATCAGCAGTTGTCCTGACTGCATTTTTAAACAAACAATCCCTATGGAGGGGGTCAGCAAAGTGCTGAGCTAAAAAATCCCTAAAATACTAGCATTTAAATTTTTTAACTAAGAACAAAAGCCCTATTCTGCATGAGAAATGTACCTGGTAAGAGTAGTGACAGTAGACCTGAACAGAGGGGTGTACTTCCTCAGCAAATCCTTTAACTGATCATGAACATTATCAAGAGTTATTGAAACATTTAGCAAGACAATTGCAACCATAGCACTGGCACACAGAAATTCTACCCTGAGAATGTGATGAGAAACTTTTCCAGGTGAAGACTAAACTTCTACTTGTTTCATGTCAGAAGTTACTGCTAAATAGACTACTTTAGTACGTTTGTTTATGCACACTTGAACTGCGTGGTGGTAATTTTGTGTAAGTGTTACGGAGCTCCTGTTTCTTTTCATCCATGTTTAACTGGCATGTAACATAGTATAATGTGCAGCTCACTCAATCACATCAAAGGCCCAGTCCTATTTACATAAACACCAGTGACAATTATGCCTTTTGACAAAGAGCTCACAATAAACCCCATGTTTTACGTTACTACGTTTCTATAGTAGCACAAAGGGGAGTCTTCTCAATCGGTGTGAGATCTTGCTCAGCTGTAAAGTGAGGTGGTGACAGTGACAGGACTAACTGGAGGCCAACTTCAAGTTCTGCTGTCTTGGGTAGCTCACTTAAAGCTTGTTTGGCTGTGATGAGAGTCAA